CAATTAGCCACACCCTTGCTATATGTTCCCTTCCCGTAGAGGCTAAGTATTTGCTTTCTTCTCTTATCGTAGGTTTTGTATGTATTTTTCTTCAACCGGGTATTTTCCTATCTAAACCAAGTTTCTTAAATTGCAGCCATTTTCTTTCTATTTGAAGAAAAATTAGAAGGGATTCAGGAAGTGCAGGAGGAGAGGGGAAACTGCATGCTTAGAAGACATAAGAGTCAAGACAGAATTTATAGATATTGATCAGTAATTAAGTATAGACCAGGAAGAGTATTGTAGAGTTTTGACCTTGAGTCAATTTCATATGCAGAGCTAAATTGCATCTGAACAATTTCCTTGGAAAAACACTCTACTGTATTCCTATCACAAGTTATCTTTTTATTGTGATTACTGACTGCAGGTGACACTGTGGCCAAAGGTCAGGCAATTACCTTGTATAGTAACTAGATTGACAGGGCACAAACATTGAAATATATATTGCTTTGGCAGCTAGTCATGCCCCGACTACTAACTTTGGAGTAATGGCAGAAATAATTTATCCGTCATTCCAGGCTTAAACAAAGGAGGGGGGAACTTGTTTCCTTTTTTTTAAATATACCGTATTTTCCGGCATATAAGATGACTTTTTAACACATGAAAATCTTCTCAAAAGTCGGGGGTCATTTTATATGCCGGGTGTCGTCTTATAAGCCGGTATACGGCGTGCTGAAACTTACTTCCGAGCCGGACTGGAGAAGCTGTCCTTCTCCAGCTTCAGGGACAGGCGTCCTCAAGCTGAGCTACCATGCGCTGCATCCTGGTCAGCCGCTCCTGGAGCAGGCCCCTCTCCCTGCTTTCAGTGGTTTTCTCATACTGGCAGTATCACATTGCGTACCACCGCTCGGATCGTCTTGGAGACAGGGAGGGCTGGGCAGGCAGGGAGAGCTGACCCACCCAATCCAAGCAGGCTTGGTGTGCGTTGGAAGAGGGGTAGTCTTATATGGCGAGTATAGCCCAAACTCTATATTTTAACAGGAAAAGTAGGGGGTCGTCTTATACACCCAGTCGTCTTATACGCCGGAAAATATGGTACATAATTTTATTGAAAGTTTCAACAATAATAATAAGAATTAATACAAATTAAAATAGAACAATAAAGAAGAAAAAGGGAGAAATAAAAGAAAAAACTAAAAGCAGGGTGGATTTGATTTAAATCACAATTTAAATCACTAGTAAAAAGGCTTGATTTAAATCATCTCGATTTAAATCATAATTTTTAAAGAGCAACTGTCATCTCTGTCCTGCAGCAGCTCCTCCTCTGTCCTGCTGTTGACTCACTGACAGTCCCAATATTGCAGAATATACAGCCTCATGCTACATAACTAAGCTCCATTTCATGCTGAATAAACCAAATTATTAATGTATCTTAAATGGAAAACTATCTTTAGATAGATTTTTACTCCAAAAGCATTTTATTAAAATAAATTTGATAAAAATAAAAAAAAATCCGATTTAAATAAAAAAAATCAGAGTTTTTGATTAAAAAAAATCATTGATTTTTATCCACCCTGTCTAAAAGTGCAAAAAGAAAATAAGTAGAACAATATATATATATACATATATATATATACATACATACACCCTGTTTCCCCCAAAATAAGACATCCACTGATAATAAGCCCAATTGGCTCACTCATCATCACGAAATCTCCACAAATTTGTAAAGCCTACAAACTTGTAATTTGGCATACATGTTCCTCTTGGCTTCTAGGTGCTCGCTAAGAAAGGATTTTTCAAAATGACCATCAGATCATTTAGTATTTCTTACATTATTATTAACACGCTCTGATTCTAAGGGGTTAGATGTTCTACTCCCTCTCCTCACCTGAAAAAGAACTGCCACTTGGATGTGGGTGTGGGTGTGGCCAGCACATCCGGCCTGCGGGCTGGGAGTTTAGACATTCTACTCCCCCTCCCCACCTGAAAAACGCTCTGATGCTAAGGAGTTAGACTGAGGGAGAGAAGGGGATAAGATAGGAGATGCCTCTGTGGGGCAAGCCTGAGAGAGAGAAGGGAGAGAGGGCTGATCATAACTACTCATTAATTTTCAAGCTGTGTCTATTTATCAAGCCTTATCACATAGTTTTGTAGCGGAGCACAGGTATCCAGCTAGTGTGTGTGTGTGTGTGTGTGTGTGTGTGTGTGTAAAAATTCCATAAGGTGTTTCCAATAACCAGTAAACGTAGATATTGCCTTTTCTCTAACCAAACACATCAATTTTGCCACATATTCTGTTTCAGAGATTAAATAACTACTACCTGAATGCTTTCAAATTATAATTGAATGATTATAGGATTTCATAATATAAATATGTAGCAATTCAAGTTTTTCAGAGAAAAGTATTAGTTTGTTTCATAAAGCTTCAGAACAAAACCATCCATAGTATTAACACAATCTGTGTGAAACTGTAAAAGATGAAGCATGGCACAATTCAAGCACATTTGAATGATATCTTGTCTCCAGAAATACAACATGTTTATGAAATATTAGGAGCAGAAATGCACAGGATTTCAATTACTGATTTTTGCTCCCAGGTCAAGCAAACACTGGAATGTGCTTCTATATATCACTTAATTATTTCTGTTTCTTATTCATGTCTTTTTGAAAATGTTGATCCAGTGAAAGTCATTCATTTCAGAACAGGTTCCTGTGTTCATCTGCTTGTCAACTGTGCAAAAATATCTCTTAAACACAGGAATGAAAGAAAAGAGAGACATGGCCTAAACTGTGAATGAACTGCATTTTCAACCAGCCCACAAAACTTTGCTTAGTCAAAGTAATCTCTTCCTCATTTCCCTCCCTAAAACCACAGACACTGACTTTATTCCAAAGGTGCTTTTTCAAAAGGCAACTGGACTTTGTTTTTCCTTGAAGACGTTTTGCTTCTCATCCAAGAAACGAAACGTCTTCAAGGAAAAACAAAATCCAGTTGCCTTTTGAAAAAGCATCTTTGGGATGGAGGGAAGATCAAAAAATTGGTGTTATGCAAAATGAGGAAAACTTGGTAAAACAGATTAGAGATCAAAGTCAAATGCATATTAAAAGGTTGTATAATGCATTACTGGAAATAGATTCAGAAACGGAATTGGTTAAAGATTGTATGATAAAATGGGCACAAAACTTTCAGGAACCAGTGATGATAGAAACATGGGAAAAGATTTGGGTTAGAAATGTTAAATTTACACAAGCACAAAACCTAAGAGAAAATTTTTATAAAATGTTTTATAGATGGCATTTAGATCCTAAAAAATTATCATGTATGAACTCAAATTTGCAAGCTAAATGTTGGAGATGTGAATGTGACTATGCAACTTATTATCATATATGGTGGACTTGTAAGAAAATCAAAGCATTTTGGATAAAAATTTGGTGGGTGATGCAGAACATCTTGAAAAAAAGGTTGAAATTTACTCCGCAATTGTTTTTATTGGGTATAACTATGGATTGTACAGCATTAGAGACCAAACTGATTTTAAATTTAATATCAGCAGCTAGGCTGTTGGTAGCGCAATACTGGAAGAAGGACTCTTTGCCTACTATTGAAGAGTGGACACTGAAAGTAACGAATTTAGCGGAAATGGCGAAAATTTCAGCGTATTTGAAGGACTATACACAAGAAAGATATGTATCCGAATGGAGAAGATGGATTGATTATATTCAAAATAAGTATCAGACAAGAAAATATCAAATATCTTATGAATGAATGTTAAGTTTTAGAAGTATCATATTATTTATAGTGGAGTTAAGGTTTCGGGGGGGATTTTGTAGTCTAAGGATAGATAGGTTAATTTAGCTTATGATTGTTAACTGAAATACCCTGTATTTTGCTCTGGGAAGTCTGGGGGGGAGGGTGGGATGCGGGGAAGGGGTGTGGGGGTGGTGGGGGGGAGGGAAAAGGGTGGGGGGAATATTGGGGAAAAAATCTTTTTTTCTGTAAAACTTTTCAATTAAAAAAAAAAAAACCATCTTTGGGACAATCTTGACCTGGATGACTGAGAATCTCGACGCTTTCTTTGCTTTGTGCAAACCTAATGATAAAGAGCTTTTTGGCCTGATCCCAACTGGATAATTATTTGCTGCTTTTGCCTTACACTTAGTAGTACACCAGTTGTAGGTAATCTATAACCTTCCTTTGCTGAAACTCTGTAGCCATTTCCTGATTTATTTTCTCTAAAAACCTATCTAAGGAACCTCACTAAGGGAAAGGGGAGGGATTGTAGGCTACACAACTTGGCCGACAGAAGCAACCCACTGCAAATGGACTTGTGATGGCTCACTTCTACTGCCACTTTCACCCATCATGGCAGATCTCTGTGTAAGTATATGGCATTGATCAATACAGCTTTGCTAATGGTGTTCAATCTAGCTTTTATTATCCATTCCTTGTTTGGCATCCAAACTGCAGCAGCCTTAGCCTGCAACATGACCTCCCGTGACTTCATGGGGTTGTGATGTGATCATGATGAAGTGCACCTTTCAAACTGTGCCATTGTTTTCTGCATAGGAGCAAGCAGCAAGCGGGTAACATGAGTCATTCTAGATTGAGCGGTGTACAACTGGAATGAACAAAAATTAATAATGAATGGAATAATGTATAGCTGAGATGCCTGCATTGAGAATCTAGAGGCTGTGCTCATGTCTTGTACTCTGGTATCTTGATTTTCCATATTTGCAGAGAATGGTAGGGTGGATCAGGTTCAAGGAAAGGTTACCTTGCAAATATTTAAGATTCACATTAAAAGCTATAATTAAAATAAAATTTGAGGTTGCCAAGGTTCCTAGATCCTTCCAGAAGGAGACTGAGAAGTATAATGAGAATTTTCTCCTCAGATGCATTCTAAAGGTAATCTTTTATGAGTTGATGACAATCGAATCTAAAATGTTTTGCATCTCTCTGCTGTAAGTGCATTCATTTTCTTTGTCAAACTAACATAGGTTTTTTCATTCTCTTTTAGTGCATGTCTTCTGAAGATATTTTTTCTCTGTATGGAATATCAAACAGGACCAGTATAATGGAATCCTCCTTCTCTACAATATGCCCTGCTGTCTTACAACAAGTGATTTTTCACCCCTGTGAAAAATCTGGTCCCAAAGGTAGTTCCAAGCCATCTCCTACAGAAGGTAATTCTCCATTTAGAATCTAGTTTATTTTTTTTTTCTAGTTATGTACTTCTACAAAAAATATCAATGTTTCTACAGCTACAATGGCATAATGTTGGCTGCCAGTTTTCACTATTAACTGATATTTCATGATAATTTTATTATATCAACTCTGATAATGATCGTAATTAAATTTTTATATTGTGATAATAACAAAATGTCCCTTAGTTGTCAAATATCATCTGCTTGTGCTTCTAATACACGTAAGACTAAGTCTTGTATCTTCTCAGCAGATATTATTAGAAAGGCATTGTTGCAAAACATTTTAAACTTAAACACCAATTGCATAAAAGCTGGCCTAGTGCAGGAATTTTGTTTGAACTTAGAAGGAAATTCATGGTCTTAGCTAGCAAACTAGAATATTGATAACTGTAAATAGTGCCTCCCATGTATAATGATGTCAATAGATTATATCTCTTTCAAGGAAGACTGGTGAGCAAGGACTTTTACAGATAAACCAAATCATAGGGGACAATCATCAAGACAAATAGAGAAAAGTTATCTCTGAATAGAATCTCTGAAAGAATCTCTGAAAGAAAGGCAATTTACAGAAATGGAATCTAAACTAGACTATAAAAAACAATAGCTTGAATATGATATTTGAAAATACCAAAGCACTCCATGGGTATTTTCTGAAAGGTATTGAAGAAAAATTGAACAGCACTATTAAGAATGTTACATTAAAAAAGAAAACAGAAGCAATGCTTTTTTTTTTTTTTAGTCTAAGAAGAATGCTATGCACCAAAGTTATTAAAGTAAAATGAGAAAAGACCTCAAGTAGTAAATTCCATTTGGGCCAGTTAAAACAGTTCATTATATAGTAACTGGATGTAACAAAATAACTCAGATGACAAAAATAATTATGAGTTGAGAAGATGTTACACTAGCATTTATGTTTAAAAGTATGGATTCACAGTCAATATGCGTCATTGGAAACATCAAATCACAGATAAAAATCACATGACAAAGTAAAAATGTTAGGGAATTTGAAATTCATACCAATGTATGCCTATAATATAACACACACCAGACACTGTTGATATTGAAAAGAACAATGTTTGATGTGTTAACGTAGCTATTCAAAGGGATGGTAATGTGGAAGATGAGGAAGTGGAAAAGATTGCAAAGATGAGTAAATAGAGATTGCCAAAGTTTGGAAGATATCAGTTGTGGTACCAATTGTTATTGAGACAGTGGGTACAATATCCCCAGTCAACATCAGCTTTGACATATTTTTAGAACTGGTATGTAGTAATGCAGGATAAAGAAGTTGCTTCAGGTAGAAAATACAGAGATTGAAAAATATAGGCTGCCATCTTGCCATTTGCCAAATAAATCAGAATATCCTGAAGTAGTTATTGGATGAACACAAATTCATCTCAGTACAAACTATGTAACAAAGTCTTGTCTAGTTTGACCTTCAACATCTAGGATTTTAATCAAACTTGCTTCTGATTAAGGCAAAAGGCAAGGAAAATTTAAGCATGTAGAGTATGCGAGTCCCTTGGACTGCAAGGTGATCAAACCAGTCAGTCTTAGAGGAGATCAACCCTGACTGTTCTTTAGAAGGCCAGATCCTGAAGATGAAACTCAAATACTTTGGCCACCTAATGAGAAGGAAGGACTCACTGGAGAAGAGCCTAATGCTGGGGACAATTGAGGGCAAAAGAAGAAGGGGACGGCAGAGAATGAGGTGGCTGGATGGAGTCACTGAAGCAGTCAGCGTGAACTTAAATGGACTCCAGAGGATGGTAGAGGAGAAGAAGGCCTGGAGGAACGTTGTCCATGGGATGGCAATGGGTCAGACACGACTTCGCAACTAACAACAACAGAGTATGTTTTATAAGGGAAAAAAGAGTTGACCAAAGAACTAAAATCAGAAACACATGAAATTTACCATATTTATAAATATTGTAAATAAGTCAGGATACAACAAAGAGGTTGTTAGAAACTACATATTCACCTCTAATGCTTTTAGCAGTATCTTTTTCTTTTTTTTAGTGTCTTTAAATAACAAAATAATGGAGAGTTTGACACTCAGGAATAAAAAAAGATCTCTAAAATCTTTTCCCTTATTGTTAAAAACAGCACATTTTGTTTTTATGGTTAATTCTTCAACAATGATATATTGAGCCCTAACTACAAGTTCTATAATTTTCGTGCCAATAATTACCAATATTACCAGTAGTCCTTGACTTATGAGCACAACTGAGCCTAACATTTCTGTTGCTGAGTGCGACATAAGTGAGTTTTCCTCCATTTTACGACCTTTCTTGCCCCTGTTGTTAAGCGAATCACTGAAGTTGCTAAGTTAGTAACACAGTTGTTAAGTGAATCTGGTTTCCCCATTTGATTTTGCTTGTCAAAAGCAGGGGTGAAATGCTCCCAGTTCGGACCAGATCACATGATCCAGTAGCGATGGCGGCGGGTGATTCGGAGAACCGGTAGCAAAAATCCTTCTCCGCCCCCATGCCCAGCTGAGCTGCGCAATCATCAGAGGCTTTTTATTTTATTTTTAAAAGCATTTTTTCTACAATCTCTTCGGCCGAAAAAATGCTTTTAAAAGTAAAAACAAAGCCTTTGCCGATTAGGCAAGCCAGCTGGGATTGTCAGAGGCTTTAGAAAAAAAGAAAAGCCTCTGCCGATCAGGCAAGTTAGCTGGGATCGTCAGAGGCTTTAAAAAAAAAAGAAAGAAAAGCCTCTACCGATCACGCAAGTCAGCTGGGATCGTCAGAGGCTTTAAAAAAAAAAAGAAAAGCCTCTGCCGATCAGGCAAGTCAGATCGTCAGAAGCTTTTAAAAGCATTTTTTTACAACCTCTTCAGCCGAAGAGCTTGTAGAAAAAATGGTTTTAAAAGTAAAAAAAAAAAAAAAATTGGCCATGCCCACTCAGTCATATTACCCCCCACCAAGCTCCGCCTACAGAACCGGTAGTAACAAATTTTACATTTCACCACTGGTCAAAAGGTTAAAAAGGGATCACATGATGCTGGAACCTGGCAACTGTCATAAATATGAGTCAGTTGCCAAGCATCTGAATTTTGATCATGTGGCGATGGGGATGTTGCAACAGTCCTAAGTGTGAAAAATGGTCATAAGTCACTTTTTTCAGTGGTTCGTAACTTTGAATGGTCATTAAATGAACTGTTGTAAGTCGAGGACTATCTGTATATCTTTGCATCCTCTTTTGTTTCTTATTTTTGTTCATTTTCTCTTTTTATTTTCTTTAAAGATATGAATAAAAACAGCAATGTTAAAAAGCAGTTAAAAAGAATAAAAAACTTTCTGTTGCATCTGTCAGGTGCATTTTAGTCAGGTCACCATTTTTCTGCCTTATTGGTTTTTTTTGTTATTTTTAACTACTGTAATTTTAGCTGACGAGAAATCTAGCACAATGGAAAATGTCAAGGGAAAGGAAGAAATTAATTTGAAGTTATTGTGGGAATCTATGGTTCAAGAATGGAAATAGTGATCATAAACATGAAAAATCCCATATTTAGCATTTTTAGTGTGTTGCCGTGTGCAATTTAGCATATTTTATTATTCATTTATCTAATCAGCTTTTTTACTGCCTGCATCACCTATGGGACTCATATTTATATGTTGTTCCTAGTCAAATAATCTCAGCAAACCTTGGATTTAAGTATATCTTGAATGTTAGGTCTTCAGCTGTTTTTCAACTAGATGGATAAACTTATTTTTTTCCTGCCAAATGAGTTCCCTATACAATGAATCACCAAGAAGGACTTTGTTGGTTTAATACAACTAATATATATTTTACTGTATCATTTATTTATTTTTTTTTGCTTTTTATAGTTTGGGGCTTTGGGTTCCTTGCTGTAACTATAATCAGCCTTGCATCACTCCTTGGATTGGTTTTAACACCTCTTTTAAAGAAGGACTATTTCCCTAAGTTTTTAACCTACTTTGTAGGTTTGGCCATTGGAACACTCTTCTCTAATGCAATTTTTCAACTTATTCCAGAGGTAAGGAAAAGGTAAACAAAAATGGTGGGAATATAACCATATTCTATGTTTTCCCTTAAGACTGAACATCCGGAAAGATGCTCTTGAATAGAATAGAATAGAATAGAATAGAATAGAATAGAATAGAATAGAATAGAATAGAATAGAATAGAATAGAATAGAATAGAATAACAGAGTTGGAAGGGATCTTGGAGGTCTTCTAGTCCAACCCCCTGCCCAGGCAGGAAACCCTACACCACTTCAGACAAATGGTTATCCAACCTCTTCTTTAAAATTTCCGGTGTTGGGGCATTCACAACTTCTGCAGGCAAGTTGTTCCACTTATTAATTGTTCTAACTGTCAGGAAATTCCTCCTTAGTTCTAAATTGCTTCTCTCCTTGATTAGTTTCCACCCCTTGCTTCTTGTTCTACCCTCAGGTGCTTTGGAGAATAGCTTTGCTCCCTCTTCTTTGTGGCAGCCCTTCAAATATTGAAAGACTGCTACCATGTCTCCCCTGGTCCTTCTCCTCACTAGACTGGCCATATCCAGTTCCTGTAACCGTTCTTCAAATGTTTTAGCCTCCAGTCCCCTAATCATCTTTGTTGCTCTTCTCTGCACTCTTTCTAGAGTCTCAACATCTTTTTTACATCGTGGCGACCAAAACTGAATGCAATATTCCAAATATTGCAAACATTCCTTTCTTCCCCATTTCCCAAAACCACAAACTGTTTCAGGGAAATAGGTTAGATTTGTACCACTGTTCCCCATCTAAGAAAGATAAATTACCAGTCTGACAGGAAGTGTAGAAGGGAGAACATGCTAATATTATATGCCTATTGGCAAGAGCCTGGCAAATAGAAATGAAAGCATTGATTAACTACAGTCACCGAGTCATGTCTATGGTTGTCTGCCAATGGAAAAAAGGTTGTTGATATCATGAAGCTTTGGCAGGATTGTTCGGTACTTCATGGAAAGAGGAAGTGATTTTTTTTTTATTCCTCAAATGATGATGTTTGCTGCCAGAACCACTGGTAAGGAAAATTAATTGGGTTAGTTGCTGAACTGGTTAAGCATGTTGGATGAATAGAGTTCATGTAGGACAGCGGTGTTAAACTCGATTTCATTGAGAGCTGCATCAGGGTTGTGTTTGACCTCAGGGGTAGGGTGGGTGTGACCAGAGTAGGCATGGCCTGCTCAATGTGACTCATGTCGGGGCGCCTGTGGCAGCCCGAGCATTCTGCCAGCGAAAATAGGCTCCTGAGCTCCATTTCCAGCTACGGTGACCTCCTGCAACCCTCTGTCCTCACACGGCCCTCCCGAGCTCCGTTTCCAGCTATGGTGGCCTCCTGTAACCCTCTGTCCGCACACGGCCCTCCCGAGCTCCGTTTCCAGCTATGGTGGCCTCCTGCAACCCTCTGTCCGCACACGGCCCTCCCGAGCTCCGTTTCCAGCTATGGTGGCCTCCTGTAACCCTCTGTCCGCACACGGCCCTCCCGAGCTCTTTTTTCGCTGGCAGAGGGTTGCAGGAGGCCATCACAGCTGGAAACAGAGCTTGGGGGCCTGTTTTCACTGGCAGAGGCACTGTCCCTCACTGTTTCCAGGGTGGCCCCGCGGGCCAGATCTAAGCACCTTGTAAGCCGGATGCAGCTTGCGGGCCTTGAGTTTGACACCCCTGATGTAGGAGATGACCAGACTGAGCCTGAGGGAGGGATCAAACACGTCATCAGTCAAGAGTCCATGCCCACAAGGGATCTAAGTCCAGCCCACCTTGAATTCCTTTCTTAAACTCCCGCTAATTTCTCTTGACTGTTAATAGTTCAGATTCTTGTAGGCACTTAACCTTGCAATAAATCTCTATACTCATTTGAACTGCCTGAATCTCCTGATTTCCCCAGTGTTTGGCAGTCCACTGCAGAGGTGAAATGGAATAAGAGTTGCCTACTGCAATTTATTTCCATGCAAATTACCATGTTCAGCATTCATTCTGACCCACCTGTACATTTTGTGGATTAATTATTTTGCAAGATTGATTTAAAAATCAGCCAGTTTGGAGTAGACATTTAAATATAGAACAGGCAACCTTTAATTTAGGTCAGTTACAATATCAAGTAAATTTGGGTTAAATTTACTGCATGAATATGATGAAAAAGTGAATATTGTAATGAAAAAAAAAGCCTTCTTAAAAAGAATACAGAAATATCAAATGACATGGAATTATTATCAATATTTTTGTTCTAGGCATTTGGATTTGATCCCAAAGAAGATAACTACGTTGAAAAAGCAGTTGCAATTTTTGGTGGATTCTATATCTTATTCTTTGTGGAAAGAATTCTTAAAATGATATTGAAGACCTATAGTCAAGTGAGTTGGGTAGCAGGATTGAATTAAAGGGATGTAGAGGTGTGTGCTGTTTTCACTGCTAAAGATGATTATATTTATTTAACGAAAATAGCGAAAATAGGGAAAAAACCTGATGAAGTGTTTTAACCAAAGACCACATCAGACAACAGATCTCACACAATTCAGTTCATTGTAGAGAAGCAAAAGACTGAGTGGAAGCCAGGACTTTCTCTCCAGCCAGAATGAGATTAGAAGAGAAATGCCATTGACGTGTGAAATGTAGGTTGAAAAGACAATAACATCTCTGATCTACAGTGTTAATGTTACACTTTTACGCTAACCACACATGGATCTGTTCAAAAATAAATAAATAAATGGGCCAGGCCAAACGCTAAATTGTATTTAATTTATGATTATATTTCATTAACATTTAACCACATACATTAAATAGATGATGTGATTTTCCTTTCTGTCCCATTAAAAACAACAATTGTGTGGTAACTTTTGGAGGGTCCTGAGGATTGTACATAAGGCTTTTAAGAGTCACATGTATTCCTCAGACTCAGGATGTGCACTTCTGGATAAAAATGCCAAATTTCTCACATTAAGATATATTTGCTGTACATTTATATTTGTAGTATAACAACCAGCTATTTTCATTGGAACAAAGTGCATTTAGACAAGGTCTCTCTCTCTTTCTCTCCTCCTGTCTGTCTGTCTGTCTGTCTGTCTGTCTGTCTGTCTATCTATCTGTCTGTCTATCTATCTATCTATCTATCTATCTATCTATCTATCTATCTATCTATCTATCTATCTATCTATCTATCTATCTATCTATCTATCTATCCCTCATCTATTCTATTTCTAAAGTTATATTTTCATAAAGTCCATTGATTCCTTCCTGAATTGTTTTCATCTGGTTCTCTATAGATGGGCCACAGTCATTTTGAGCCTCAAGAACTGAAACTCCCTCAAGATTGTTCTGCTCCTGCTGCTCCTATAGAATCAATCAAACCAGTTAATGGAACCATGTGCTATGCAAATCCAGCTGTAGCAGAAGCTAATGGAAACTTGGGTTTTGATAATGTCAGTGTGATCTCTGGACAGGTATGAATGAACATGTTTTTCCAGTTTATCACAGCATTTTCAGAAAAGAGCTGATTGCTGATCTTTTCTTTGTTGACAATAGTCTTAAAACTGACCTTGAGTTCATCGTCCACCCCAACATTATTAACCACTCAATATATATGTATGTGTGTGCACACAGAGAAACACAAAGAGAAAAAATTGTGTTTGTTTATACCGACATATATAAATATTTCTTACAATTAAGTTGTAGATTTACTTTATTCCTTCTTATATATTTTTTGCTTTCTTATTAACCTTTGTACTTTATCAACTCGTATCTTTTTCAACTTTGTTATAAATTGGTTCATATGTTCATAGTTCATCGCAGCCTTCCTGCCTACTGAATATACTACACTACATAGTTAAATAGACAGTGGCTGGCAGATGTTCAGGAAAAGGCTCGGCTTGGCCAGTACTGATTCCAAGAATCTGATGTCATTGGCAATGATATCCCAAGTTCCACCCAATGGAATATGTAAGACACATAAATTGAGAAACATAATCTCTTTGAGTATGTCATGCAAATTGGAGGTAATAGTCTGTTGGGGTGGATTCCCTTTTCTGGGTTTGCCCATCAAAACTTTCCCCTAAAGTTAGTTCTGCATTTGACCAAGGCATATATAGTTATATAGCAATATTAGGCATAACCAGGAAGCTGACAGTAGATTACATTGGGGGAATCTGCAGGTTCATAAGATTATCTTTGACTTTAAACATTGACTTTAAGGTACCCTGTTTGACTTTAGGCAAGTCCTGTTAATACAATGATAAAATTAAACTTTAGGGTAGTATCCTTTCTCTTTCTTTTAGGTTTGTGAACTGTTAGTTTAGCTCTCTGTCAATATCTCCAGCAGTCACGTAAAATTAAATTCTATTCATAGTTGAAACTGTAACCTTTAACATCTTGTGTAATGTTTATACAAGATTCGTGGTTGCTCAGACTGGAAAGCTTTAATGTTTGATTTGGTTAAAAAAGGACAATATTGTAAACTTTCCCTTCTGCCTTAAAACAAAGATAGCGTTAAGAAATTTTATGGCCACACAGTCAGCCAGATATTTAGACTGGATTTGACATTTTCATCCACTTATAAAGTTCTCTAGGATTAGGGATAGGTAGATGTTTGAGGGTGTTATTAGTATTGCGGCAAATATTATTTTTATAGCCATACAAATGTTTAGACTACAGCTGGCATTTTTATCTACGTATCAAATCCTTCCTAAGGACCTGTTATTATTTAATACACAGATATTATTATTTAATATTATTAATAAAGCTTTCTTTTTATATTTATTATTGGTTAGCCACTTCTGGCGGCTAGAAAATTTCTGCTCTTAACAGTTCTTTCAGGATCCTTCCTGTTAATTACTGAAAGTTGAGAAGATTAAAGAAAAAAAGAATTCAGTAGGAAATTACGTCAGGCATCATTTAATTTTTCTATGTTTATTTTGGTGAGAAAATTGACTGTAATTTTTGAAATGTTGAAATTGTTCTTTAAATGGCGTCTCTGGGAATTTCATTGTCAGAATAGAGCCATATTAAAGATAAAGGTAAAGGTTCCCCTCGCACATATGTGCTAGTCATTCCCGACCCTAGGGGGCGGTGCTCATCTCTGTTTCAAAGCCAAAGAGCCAGCACTGTCCGAAGACGTCTCCATGGTCATGTGGCTGGCATGACTAAACGCCAAAGATGCACGGAACACTGTTACCTTCCCACCAAAGGTGGTCCCTATTTTTCTACTTGCATTTTTTACATGCTTTCGAACTGCTAGGTTGGCAGAAGAGAGCCATATTAGTCAATGGTAAAAAAAATTAATAGTTTGCAACTTACCTAATTTTGTATTTCCAATGCATCGACTGAAATTTAGATAGTATTTGAAATTATTCAAATTTTTCAGTGCAGTTCCTCCACAGTAAAAATATAGTAATAAAATGTTTGCTAAAAATGCATACAGGTAGTCCTTAGGTTAAGGACCTATGTGACAGTTCAAAGTTGCAGTGGTACTAAACAAATTGTTCTTACACCAGTCACTGAAGTTGTAGGGCTCCCATGGTCACACAATCAACATTTGTGTGCTTGATATCCGACTTGCATTTATGACTGCAAGGCACTTCTGCCTTTCTCCCCTGCCCCATCTCTGCCCTTTTGGCCACCTGAACGCTGTCAGTCTATGCTTCACTGCCTTTGCCACCCCTAGATGACCTCTGCTGCCTTCTTCCTCCAACTATTGATGAGGCACACCCAGCCTGGCTCTTTGCAAGGCAGCTGCAGGCCATTTTGGGTTTTTTTTTTTTTTAGGGTTGAGCTTGATAGGAGGATAAAAATATCAAATCCAGTGTGGCCATCAAATCCATATCTGGTTGATTGGGTGACCTATCATAATCATACCATTGCTATAAATAAACTACTATTTATTTTTATTAATTATTATTTATTATCAATTACTATTTGTTTTTTTATAAATAAACTACTATTTATTTTATTAATTTATTATTATTTTTCCTGAATGCCATCACTCTGCTTAACAACTAATTCCCACAACAGAGTCAAATAATTTACTAAGACTGTATTACTATTATTCTTCTCTTCCTTACTATTATCTATCTCTTCCCACTTATTACTATAAGTTGCATGTTGCTTGTATCTTTCAATTATATTGTTTTTATTTGTTTCCTAGAATGATTTGATAGCTTATTAGTAACCTTGACTATCACTAAATGTTGTATCTTTTTATTTTTGATGAATGTATTTTATTCTCCTTATGTACACTGAGAGCATATATACCAAAGACAAATTCCTTGTGTGTCCAATCATACTTGGCCAATAAAGAATTCAATTCAATTCAATTCAATTCAATTCAATTCAATTCAATTCAATTCAATTCAATTCTACTCTACTCTACTCTACTCTACTCTACTCTACTCTACTCTACTCTACTCTACTCTATTTAATAATCTTACCACATTTTAAAAATGTAATGGATTATTTATTTAAATTGACATAGGAGTCCCCCCCCCAATTTAGCTACCCCTAATTCATATGAATTAGTGAAGAGTATTCTTTCCTTTGTTAATCTGTTTACTTAAAGTAAAACCTGTGTCCTGGGAGTCCAGACTTTTCCTATTGAAGTTAGGTGGCATGATTAATAGGTGAACAATAACTTCTGTTCAACAATTGTGCTGACTCTGAATTCAGAGTCCCAGAGGAAGAGCTATCTTTGTTGTTTGGTTTATTAAGCTATGTGAAGTCTTAAATACTCCTGTCAGGTTCTAGAAGGAGATAGACAAGATTTAATTGGCTGACCAAAAAAATAAAATATGGTGTCTTCATCTCCAAACGTCCCTTCTGCTTGGAAAGACTCTCTCCGACTGTTAACAATATGAAATATAATTCTTTCAGAAAAATTGCCACAGCATCAAATGCTTAAAAGAATCCTATCTTATTGCTGAAAATTAACCCTGGTCCATCAACCTAATTTCTGTCCACTTTTAATTGATTAACTATTCTGTAGCTCAGCTGCTTTTTAAAGGAAAATGTATTATTTGATGTATTATCTAATACCCATTTAAAATATTTGCAAAGAGGTGTCTGTGATAAGCTTGTTAGAAGATGAATCCAAGGCATTATGGTCTTCTGAACCAAATGTATAAAACATTGGATATTAAGAGCCAAAGTGGCGAATGATAAGAGTCAGTACTGCAGGCTACTTCAGCTGACTGCTAGCTGCAGTTCAGCAGTTCAAATCTTAGCGGCTCAAGGTTGACTCAGCCTTCCGTCCTTCCGAGGTGGGTAAAATGAGGACCCAGATTATCAGGGGCAATATGCTGACTCTGTAAACCACTTAGAGAGGGCTGTAAAATCACTATGAAGTGGTATATAAGTGCTATTGCTATTGCTAAAAGCATTGGAAACCTGGGTCCATCTGTTTTGCAGTTCTTTAGATAATTCACTTCATTTGGACAGCTTACTGCAGAAAAAACAGAAGAACTGTGATATAGATCAAAAGTGAATTTGACGTCATGGTTCTGTGCTTGAATTGAAATATTTGCTGTATGTGGAAAATGATTATAGGTAATCCTCGAGTGACTGTAATGGAGCCCAGAACTTCCATTATGTTGTGACAGTCCTAAGTCAATACCCATGCAGTTGACTGATTTTATGAGATTTTTGTGGTGGTACTTAAGTAAACGCTGTGATTGTTAAATGAATCCATTTGTTTTTATGGTTTTTTTTTGTCAGAAAACCAACTGGGAAAAAAAATGTAAATCATGATCACATGACCATGGAATGCTGTAAAGGTGAGCATCTGAAATATGGTCATGTGATCAGTATGTGTGTGCACACACCATTGTGGGAACTCCGGAACTGGATTGTAAGGGGAGACAGTGTGTCATAACTTTGAATGGTACTAAGCTACCAGTTTTTAAATGAGAACTACTTGTACTTTGGATTCCATGTCTTATTTCTCAGTAAATGTGCAGTTTAAATCTACAGAGAGAGCTATAAAGCACTGTGAAGCGGTATATAAGTCTAAGTGCTATTGCTATTGCTATATGATCCTTTGCTTTCTTACAGTGACTTAGTATTTGATGTAACTCTCTTTTTTTTGTTGTTGTTGCAGAAAGAAGAAATGCAAAGTAGTTCATGCAAGTGTCTGAAAGGGCCTGCCCTATCTGAGATTGGTACAATTGCCTGGATGATCACATTAAGCGATGCTTTGCACAACTTCATTGATGGATTAGCCATTGGAGCTTCTTTCACACTTTCCCTACTTCAGGGAATTAGCACATCTATAGCAATCTTGTGTGAAGAGTTTCCTCATGAATTAGGTAATGTGTTTTACCCAGGGGGGAAATCTACTTACCTTCCTTATCAGTTCGGAAGTGCTTGGGTGCACGTGTGTCACATGTGTGCGCAGACCCTCTGCGCAGGCACAAAACCTTCTGTGCATGCGCACAGAGTAAAAAACACATTACTTCCTGGTTAAAACCAGGAAGTAACACCCGGGCGGGTGGGCGGAGCCTCGCGCCACATCGCTACCAGTTCTCCAAACCACCTGCCACAATCGCTACTGGATTGCCCGATCCGGTCTGAACCGGGAGCATTTCACCCCTGGTTTTACATCATTTCAAAGTTTAAGGTATGTAGCTGAGGCAGACTTCTAGAACCAAAGAAGCTACTGTAGTTATGGCTTTCAACTTTTAATCATAGTGATTCAGGAATCTGGAAGTGCATTCCAACTCTAAGGGCATCAATACTGGGGTAAGCTGTCCTAGAAAATTTCTCATTAAGCAAGACATAATCCATAAATATTTTATATTTAAATGGGGAAATGATAGTTTTCTGATACATTTCATATACATCTTATCAGTCCATTTTGAATTATTATCATCCTGAATCAATCTACTGCAAGATGGAAGCCTCTCCACTGAAGGTTACAGACTATAATTCATCATGCTGGTCCTGGAGATTGATAGATAGACTTTTTCAACTTCTCGTTCTAGGAATGATAGAATGACTGGCTCAAAGTCATCCTGTACTAAGGGTGCCTTTAAAGGATTACACCAAACTGTCTCTTTGTATTTTGATTTATCTTGGAGAAAGTATAAATCATAACTGTGTTACATACTGATAATGTCATACATTTTTTTTTTTAGGGGATTTTGTCATCCTTCTTAATGCAGGAATGAGCACAAGGCAGGCCTTGTTTTTCAATTTTTTATCAGCATGCTCTTGTTATATTGGCCTAGTTTTTGGCATAATTGTAGGCAACAACTTCGCTCCAAACATCATTTTTGCAATAGCTGGAGGCATGTTTCTATACATCTCCCTTGCAGATATGGTAAGTTTCTGCTACATCTTATCTACCCATCTAGCTACTTAACAATATTTATAGTCTACTGTAGTACAAATGGACTTAACCATTAGCATTATTACGATGCATGATTATGAGAGACTAATATTTGTGAGACAGTGTTAAGAGAAACCACAATACCAGTACTATTAGTGTGAAACTAGGACATTGAAATGGCAATTAGTTCATGCTACTTTTTTCCAAGATGGGCATATTGGATGTCATCCAGCATGATATTTAATTTCATAAAGTCATTCTAAATCGAGGGTGAAATATGAGACAAAGTAAGGAACTTGTATCTTGGCCTTTTTTGCTTAATTCTAAAAACAGCTGTTCTCCCCGAGTTACCCACCTGCACCTGAAAACTCTATATCAGGGGTCTCCAACCTTGGCAACTTTAAGCCTGGCGGACTTCAACTCCCAGAATTCCCCAGCCAGCAAAGCTAGTAGTAGTTCTGAGAACTGAAGTCCGCCAGGCTTAAAGTTGCCAAGGTTGGAGACCCCTGCTCTATATGGAAGATTGACTAGTTCTGCATGTGTACCTGAGGCCAATGGCTTGAAAAACTTGAGAGAAATGAGGGGAAGTATATGGATTTAGTATTTAGTCTGTGTGGGATTCGAGAGCTATAGTTCTAGAATTTACCACCATCTTGCCTGTGGTGGCATCCTAGCAAATTTCATTTCAAAACATTCGGTATGTCTAGGACAAAAGCAAACAAACAAAGATGGCTAAGTAAAAATTAATTAATTAAAATGCCATTATGACAACTACTTCCTATGTATGTAAGGTTTTTCTTATTTTATCAAATTATGCATTACAATTTATTCACAACTTTTGGAGTACTTAAGTATTCAGGGACTGCGTGCCATGTAAATGCTTCTGGCGGTGCAAATTCTGAAACCAGAAAGATCGATCTATTAAAAATACTGAGAATTTAATAAAGCTATGTGCAATTATTCGTAGAGATATGTAATCCCACCCATTTAGAGAGAAAGACATGGATAGATCACATCTATAATCATAGCTGGCACAGTGAATTCTAGGAGATGTTTGTGCCTCATTTCTTGGGTTACAATGAGTAAGGCGTAGTTCAGAAAAAAAGTGGCAATATGGAAGCTGGGTATATTTTATGAGCTGTTTCTCATCTTTACCAAGAGCAAAGAGCAAGCTTGGATATTAAAGCTGTTTTCTCTGATGTCTTTCTATCTTACATGATGTAAACCCAGTTTGAAAGCCTGCTTATGGCACAGTAGGTGATAGGTTTTTCTATCTACCTTTCAAATCTCTCTATCTTTAGGTCTCTAGACTGGAACTGTGTCTGAACCAAATGTAATAATATGTGTGAATGATCAATACAGAACGCTGATTTATTGCTGAACCTCACTTTATTCTTCTCTGTCTAGAAACAGGTAGGATTTGTAAGAGTTCTTCGTTTTCTCTCTTTCTTACCATTTCTCTTAGGTAATCATAGTGAACTGATCTCATTGCTCAAGATAATCTATCAGCTGAAGTGATAGTACTCTGGGTCAAAACAGAGATTGTATGGTCTCATACTTCTGCATGTTCCTCCATAAGAAACTTTTCTGCACATTAAAACTCTTACATAAGATATGTAAAGCATTAGTAAAGTTGTTGGTCTGATGTCTTTGCCTGTTACAGTTAGGCAGCCTGTAAAAATGCATTCTAAAATTGATTCTAAATGTATGCCCTATACAATAGCTACAGTTTGTGGCTGACTTACTTCTGAATTCTTTTCTTTTTGTCTATGGTCCAAGATGCTTTTGTTTCCCATCCTTGGTTAGGTAAGATCTTTGGAGAAATATTCTTCTGGGAGTTGGATGAAGCCTTAGACTGACCAAACCTGAGCCTAAAAAAAAAATCTTATCTTTACTAATTGCAGCAAGGAATGAGAATTGTCTTCATTTGTTTGCTGCCAAGTACATAAAGCATCTACCGTATTTCTACTGCTAGTGGGACAACAGTTCAACAGATCAATACTTTTAGTTAAAACAGATATCAATCTCCGTCAAGATCTAGAAATACTCATGCAAAAAATAATCAAGACATAATCCAGATTAATTGTTGGTAAATAAGCAGAAAGAAACAATTTGGTATAGTGGTTAAGGCCATTGAAGGCCATGAGTTCGAGTCCTGCCTTAGGCACAAAGCCAACTGGGTTACTCTGGGTCAGTCACTTTCTCTTAGCCCTAGGAAGGAATGTTATTTTTAGATTTAACTTGTTTTGAGATATTCACAGTTTCCCAGTTGTGATTGAGTCTGTCCATGTGTTGTGAGATTAAGGAATTTCCATTGTATTTTCTGACTGCTAGTTGTTGTTCATAGATAATCTTCTGTCTGTCTGTCTTACATAATGTCTATTACAGTCCTTAGAGTGTATGTTACAATTTGTTGCAGATGACTTCTTTCTTTTTGGGCTATTAAGCCTTTTGGTTTATTTATGTTTTAGAGGACTTTAGTTGGTTTGTGTGCTACTATGAAGTTACGTGGTTACAATAGTCTGTTGCTTGTTGTTTGTTTCTGAGATACTTGTGACATAAGGTAATATTATTCTTTTCCTATATTGTATTGGTTGCGCTGTAGTAGGTTGAGTGGTCAGGCACTTTTTGATAATGTTGTGTAAACACAATCGCCAGCATCCAACAGCTAGATAAGAAGGGATTAACACTAGACAACAATCAAGTAGAAAACAATGCTCCATTCAAAGAAGGAAATGGAATGGAAGGGCAAGTTACTGTATATAAACATGGAACATACCCTGCACTGTTGACGTTACCTAGCTGGATAATGAAAGGTCTACAAGGAAAGCTTTATATTTTCCTACCTACATAACATTGCGACTTACCAAGTTTTGCAGCTAGACCTGAACTTCATCTTAACTTTTCACTCGTAATAGGCTGACCCAAAAGAGATGATTATTAATTAAATTTGCTACACAAACCAATAAAATGTTTCCTGACTAAGATGGAGAGAGGAAGAAGTCCCCAAATCTAAGAATAGAGGTTTAGAAGTAAAGCATAGCTTCTTTTTTCTTATCCGTGTCTTGGTGAAGTAATTGTTTGGCCCTACTATCCAAGATGGGTGTATCCCCAAATCATTAAGTCCTTTTGGAATTTAGAAATCGTATCTATTCTTACCAGTAATGTACAAAAAAAAAAACCAAAAAACCCCACCATAAAATAAAAATAATGCATTTTATAAATTGAATATACTAACATGCTATTCTACCACTAGATGGCAAGACTTACCTACTGTAAATTTTTTCCCTCCTTTTTGTGGTTTTTATTCCCATGGCAACTCCAGTTCCCAGAGATGAACGACATGTTGAGAGAAAAAGTAACTGGAAGAAAAACAGATCTGGTTTTTTTCCTGATTCAAAATGCTGGCTTGCTCACAGGGTTTACCGCAATCCTGCTCATCACTCTCTACGCAGGAGAAATTGAACTGGAGTAATGTGACAAGGAAGACAATGAAAATGGAAGAACTTCATAAAGGAACTTGAAAGTAACAAAAGACACCTTGTTTGCTTCCGTCACGGAACACAACTTTTTTTCCCATAAAAATAATATATAAATATAAAAATAATATATAAAAATAATTTTCTAATATGTGTTCTAGGATAGCATTTTCCTCCCTGTGTTTGTCCTATGTTAGTCACTTTTATATCAGAGAGCAACAGTTTAGTGGTATGAGAGGGCTACGTTATGAAAGAGTTTGTCTGAAAAACAAACAGACATTTATTATTTATGTCAATGAAAATGTGCTACCAAACCTTTATATCAGAAAAGCCCCTGGGTTTGGAACTTTGTACTGAGATCTGTTTTTAAGGTACGTGTGCAGCATAATTCAAACTTAAATGGTTTACTGTATAGATCAAATCCAGGGGTGAAATCCAGCAGGTTCTGGAGAATCGGTAGCAGAAAATATGAGTAGTTTGGAGAACCAGCAAATACCACCTCTGGCTGGCCCCAGAGTTGGGTGGGAATGGAGTTTTTGCAATATCCTTCCGCTAGGAATAGGGGGAGGATAGGAGATTTTGCAGCATCCTTCCCCTGCCACGCCCACCAAGCCACACCACGCCTACCAAGCCACGCCCACAGAACCAGTAGTAAAAAAAATTGGATTTCACCACTGATCAAATCCTATATAAAAATATACAGAAAATTCAGTCCCATTGTAAGGTATGTGTTTATAGCATTTTAACTACATAGGGACTCCTCTGAATAGGAGAAATCACACTGCCGTTTTGGTATCCTGCTGGCCTATCGCCTTCCTGAATTAGCGTTAAATACTTTCTTCATTAATTTTTATGAAAATGGTATGGCAACTGGAAGACTTTGATTTTACAGATCTCTAGCTTCTGAAAAATGGTTCGTTTTCCCTGCTAGGACGAAAGGAATAGTAATTTCCTCCCCCCTTCCCCTCCCCCTCCTCCTCCTCCTGACCTTCCTTCTCTCTCCTCCTCATCACCCTGCTCCTCCTCTTTCCCTCTTTTTAGAGAAATCACTGCCTTTTTTTTTTACTACAGTGTAATTCAAAATAGGTTTAAAAATTTCCACCACAGAAATTGTTAATTAAAAAACAAACGTTTTTCACAAAAACTTAAAAATCTTGCAGAAATTCCAATTTCTAATTAATATTGGTTTAATTGGACTTTCTTTTATTTATTTATTTTTATTTCTTTCATGCTTATGGGAGTGGCATTAAAAATAAATTCAAAAGCTGGGGGAAATTCATCAACTTTTTAATAATTAAAAACATTTATATTTCCCTGGTTATTTCTAAAGGAAGAATTAAACGGTAGACTGCCATGAAACATTGGACTTTTATTACTGACTTTCAACATAAATGAGCCACAGTCAGCATTCTAAACAGTTAAAGTTTCTTGTTATAAATTCCTTAGAATTGGAAAGGACAGGAAAGCTATGACTGTTGGCTGAATTGCATGTCTAGATAGGCCCTAAATATTGATTGCCTGTGTAAATTTTTGATATATAAACAAAGCTCTCATAGGAATTGTGTTCCAATTTTAATGGAAAGTCCAGCTTCAATCCAAACATTAAATAAGAAGCCTGGTCAGGTAAATGTTCCATATGATTGCTAATCCAATATTTACAAATGTACTCAACAGTCTAACTCCATGATGGTGAACCTATGGCCATGATGGCGAACCTATGGCACACATAGCCATATCAGTGGGCACGCAAGCTCAATTCTAGCATACATGCCAGCCAGCTGATTTTCAGGCCTTCTGGGCCCACCAGAAGTTAGCAAACAGGTCTCCGGGGGGGTGGGGAAGGCAGTGTTTGCCCTCCCCAGACTCCTAGAGAGGCTCTGGAGCCAGGTGAGAGAGAAAAACAGGCCTACCAGGTCATTGCATGCCAGGAAGGGGAGCTAGGGGGGTCGCGTGTGCATGTATGGGGGCGGGATGCATAAAATTATGGGTGTGCGCATGTGCGCGCACGCCTCCCCAGCTCCTCACTCCTGGCACGCGATGACAAAAAGTTTAGCTATCACTGACCTATGGCATGCATGCTAAAAGTGGCATGCAGAGCCATCTCTCTGGACATGCGAGCTGTTGCCCGCTGCTCTTCCGGGTTCCGGCGTGCCGACCAGCTGGTCTTCACATGTGCGGGAGCGTCAGAAACAGGAACAGCAGACGCCCGATGCACATGCACATGTTGGGCGGATGCTCTTCCAGTTTCCAGTGCATATATGCGTACCAGCCACCTGGTCTTCTGGCGCGCATGTATGTGTGAAGACCAGCTGGATGGTGCGCATGTGTGCACCAGAAATTGGAAAATCATTTCCTGGTGTGCACATGTGCTGGGCAGCTGCTGGTTTTTGCACGTGCATGCGTGCCAGAAACCGGAAGACAAAGTGGCCAGCACACATGCGCGTACCAGAAACCAGAAGACCAGCCGCTCCGGGGCGCACATCTGCCTTGGGTGGCTGCTCTTTTGGTTTCTGGCATGCATGCTCCCGTTTTAGCACTCGGTGCCGAAAAGGTTAGCCAACACTGGTCTAACTTAACTGGTTCATAACCAATATAATTTATTCTAGCGGGAGAATGGTTCTTCAGTCTTTCAAGGAGGGATCTTTCCTGGAATTGCTACATTAAATTCTTTAATCCAGGGATGAACAACTTTATAAAAAAAAATTGATTAAAAAAAAAAAAAGACTGTGTCCCAACAGGAATGGCTATTATATACGGATATTACAGAATGGGTCAATGTAGAAAATATTGACAAATTTGAGGGACAAACATTTAGGTTTTCAAAAGCTTTACATGCCCATTTTAGGTTTTATTTCCCCCAAATTATCCATGTTGCCCCAAATCATTATTTTCCCACCACGTTTAATGAAAACTTTTGGAGGAATTAAGGAATTACAAGAAAGTTATGGTATTCCTATTGTTGATTTAATCTAGGAGCAATGAAGATGGACCTATGCATGTACTTTGCATATACTTATCATTTGGGGTCCTGCCTAGATATATGCACAGTTTTTAAAAGTCTTCATACATTTTAGTAAAGAAAACACATTGTATTCCTGCATTTATTTTTACAAATTTGATTTTACATCTTGATGGATATATATTTTTTCTTGCTGTAATTTAGTTCTTATTCAAATTTATGTGTACTCTAACATATATACAGATTGATATCTTTTTTTGGCAAATAATAATAATAACGCAAGAAACTTGATACTGTGGACAGAAAAAGGAAGAAGAAAATAATGGCATATTTCTCTTCCATTTTACAGCAGTTTGGAGGATGTGTGCAATATTTATTACAAATTATGCATATTTTCTACAGTACTAGGAAATTTCAACTGGGCACTACTTTATAGATGTATGGTATACTTACCTACTTGATTTTTGAGATGAGATCTGACTTTGTTAATATATTTCCTGTGAAGCAATAAATTAGATTTACAGAATCTATTCATTGCATTTTTCTTTGTTTAATTTTTTTAACAATCCAACTGGTTTAACATTTGTAAAATGCTTTGTCAAGTATGTTTCATGCAAATGTATGGGTTATTTGCACGACAGAGATACAATGATACAACACTGAAGACAAATGATATAATATGTTCCTAAGGCCTGTTCATAGGGGACGCGGTGGCTCAGTGGCTAAGACTCTGAACTTGTCGATCGAGGGGTTGGCAGTTCAGCGGTTCAAATCCCTAGTGCTGCGTAACGGGGTGAGCTCCTGTTACTTGTCCCAGCTTTTGCCAAGCTAGCAGTTCGAAAGCACATAAAAAATGCAAGTAGAAAAATAGGGACCATCTTTGATGGGAAGGTAACAGCGTTCCATGTGCCTTTGGCGTTTAGTCATGTCGGCCACATGACCACAGAGACGTCTTCGGACAGCGCTGGCTCTTCGGCTTTGAAATGGAGATGAGCACCGCCCCCTAGAGTCAGGAACGACTAGCACATATGTGCGAGAGGAACCTTTACCTTTACCTTTAAGGCCTGTTCACACACTGGACTAACCCTAACACGTTGTGAAACCCTTTTGTGACTTTTTGAATAAATTATTGATAAACATACAGAGGTCAACCAGTCTACATAGAAATGATGCCGGACTATGCAGATTTACAGAATGATCCTAACTTTCTAAATTTTATCTAGAAATGATCCTGCCTTCCCCTAAACTATAAAGCATGGCTGCTGCTTTCTTGTTATCAAGAAAGCCTGGATATTCTCTTTAGTGGAAAGACCAAGCCTTTGAAGGTGCAGACAATCTCTTTCCAAAAGATGACTGACAGAAGCTGCTACTATATGGAGAGATCCACATGTTCATTGCATCATATGATAGCCCACAGCACTTCCTGATACTGTTCCAACTATAAAAATTCTTAATGACATATGTTCATGTAATGACCTTGTATTCACACATAAAATACCAGAAGACAAGTCTGGAAATTCTTGGTCATCCAAGTCATGGTTGTCCCAAAGGTGCTTTTTCAAGAGGCAACTGGATTTTCTGGTTTTTCTTCGAAGACATTTTGCTTCTCATCCAAGAAGCTTCTTCAGCTCTGACTGGATGGTGGGGAATGGAAGGATCCCAACCACCCAGTCAGAGCTGAAGAAGCTTCTTGGATGAGAAGCGAAACGTCTTCAAAGAAAACCCAGAAAATCCAGTTGCCTCTTGAAAAAGCACCTTTGGGGACTAGAGGACAAGGAAAAACTCCCAAATGAACAATTTAGAATTGGGGTTTGTATTTGTGGAAGGCTTGGTTCGGAACACAGTAGCACACATTCTTCTTTTGGTGACAAATATGCCTACTGTTCTTGTCTCATACTGGATTTGGGAGTATAATTGGGAGAGAGAAAGGAGAGAGAGAGGGAAGGGGGAGGAGGGCATAAACTGAATTAGAGTTACTATAAAACTACAGTTAATGTTAGCATCCAAAAGTCACAAACTAGGATACCAGCCATGTTTTTGGGCATAAAACATGTCTTTCAACCACAGTCTCATTTGTATACTTTAACAAAACTTAGCTAAGTTGCAGTTTTGAAGGAAATACCTAGTGTTTCTTCCTATAAGTTTATTCCACCCTAAAACATTATTATAAACCATGAGAATTACTCTGTTGTTAAACCAGTTGCAGACCACCACTGCAGCATTACAATCGCCTACTAAGATTAAGTCAAGGTCAGATAGTTTTCCAGATGTTATTTACTTTCTCTTCATTTCCTTTTGAATTTTGTACAATGCATAATCCTCTTCCTCCAGTAGATGGCTCCCCTGCTCCCAATTCCAGCATTCCACAGAATATAAAAAAATCGGAAACAGCTGATTGTCCTCTAGTCAGGGGAGTTAGAGACAAAGTTTAGAAAAGCAATTTCTCCCAATAGTCACTTTTCACAATGTTGTTTGGCTTTTCCAGGCTTTCTATGTTTTAAAACATTCTTTAGGTATTTCTTTTACTTCTAAGTCTTTAATATTTAATCTTCCTCTTTAGTTTTTAGTCTTTAATTTTTCTCCATAAATCCAATCACAGCTTTTTTAGTGTTTGGAGATCATTTTTGGAACTTTAAGTTAAGTCTCTAAGGTAACAGTTGGAAATTTTCTCACCCAGTTTCACTGGTCTTCCATATACCGCTCCAGCACAAGATGTTAGTGTCCCAGTTGTCCCAGCTTGTGACTGACCAAAAATGGCTGTCATCCCTGCTGCTGTTCGGGAGAGCTTTCTTCGGATCAGCAAGGAAATTGCGTTTTCCTTGTGATCGACGAAGCGCCTCTCCTTTCTTCACCTCCCCTCCAGGGAGGCTTAACCCTGTAGGGTCTTCCAGCAAGGAGTTGCTGGCTGCATTTCACGGAGCCCGGTGGAGTGCTGCTATTTTCCAGCTGTTCTCACTATGATGTCAACTGGAAGTCTCATTTACAGCCCTCTCTAAGCAGTTTACAGAGTCAGCATGTTGCCTCCAAGAATCTGGATTCTCATTTTATTGATCTCAGAAGGATGGCAGGCTGAGTCAACCTTGAGCTGCTCAGGGTCAAACTGGAGCCAGCTGGCAGAATTATTTATTTATTTATTTATTTATTTATTCGCATTTCTATACTGCCCTTCTCCTTTCGGACTCAGGGCGGTGAACAGCCGGATAAAAAACATCTATAACAAACATCACAATTAAAATAAGATTAAGATAATTTATAAAATTGGCTCATAATTTAAAATTTGTCAATTAAAATAAATATTAAAATTTTAAAAATTTTAAAACTAACCCTAAAATCAGGACAGACCAGCTAGTTGAAAAAAATGAGTTTTTAGGGCCCGACGAAAAATCCGGAGGTCGGAAATCACTCGTATCTCTGGGGGTAGATTGTTCCATAGGGTAGGTGCCACCACAGAGAAGGCTCTCCTCCTGGGGGTCGTCAGCCGGCATTGTCTGGCCAACGGCACCCTGAGGAGACCCTCTCTGTGGGAGCGAACCGGCCGGTGGGAGGCTATTGGTGGCAGAAGGCGGTCCCGTAAGTACCCTGGCCCTAAGCCATGGAGCGCTTTAAAGGTAATCACCAACACCTTGAAGCGCACCCGGAAGTCCACCGGAAGCCAATGCAGCTCGCGCAGGAGAGGAGTCACATGGGAGCGCCCCGTCGCTCCCATAATCCCCCGCGCAGCCGCATTCTGCACCAGTTGGAGCCTCCGGGTGCACCCCAAGGGGAGCCCCATGTAGAGAGCGTTACAATAGTCCAGACGAGAAGTGACGAGTGCTTGAGTGACCGTGCGTAGGGAGTCCCGGTCCAGAAAGGGACGCAACTGGCGTATCAGGCGAACCTGACAAAAAGCCCTCCTGGCCACGGCTGTCATATGCCCTTCTAAGGACAGCCGCGCATCCAGGAGGACACCCAAGTTGCGGACCCTCTCTGTGGGGGCCAATGATTCGCCCCCAATAACCAGCGATGGCGTCAGCTGGCTATACCGGGACGCCGGCAGCCACAGCCACTCGGTCTTGGAAGGGTTGAGTCGAAGCCTGTTTCTCCCCATCCAGACCCGCACGGCCTCCAGGCACTGGGACATCACTTCCAAGGCATCATTGGGATGGTCTGGGGTGGAAATGTACAGCTGAGTGTCATCAGCGTACTGATGGAACTCCACCCCAAAACCACGGATGATCTCACCCAGCGGCTTCACATAAATGTTGAACAGGAGGGGCGAGAGGACCGACCCTTGCGGCACCCCACAAACAAGGCGCCTTGGGGTCGACCGCTGCCCCCCTGTCAACACAGATTGCGACCGGTCGGAGAGATAGGAGGAGAACCACCGCAAAACAGTGCCCCCCACTCCCAGTCCCTCCAGCCGGCGCAACATGATACCATGGTCGATGGTATCAAAAGCCGCTGAGAGGTCTAATAGGACCAGGATAGAGGAATAACCCCTATCCCGGGCCCTCCAGAGATCATCCACCAACGCGACCAATGCCGTTTCCGTGCTGTACCCAGGTCTGAAGCCGGACTGGAGCGGATCCAGATAGACAGCTTCATCCAGGTACTGGGGAAGCTGTCGCGCCACCACACTCTCAACAACCTTCGCAATAAAGCGAAGGTTGGAGACTGGACGATAGTTAGCCAAAATAGCCGGATCCAGGGATGGCTTCTTGAGGAGAGGCCTCACCACCGCCTCTTTCAAGGCGGCCGGCAGGACACCCTCGCTCAAAGAAGCGTTAATAATCCCCTGGAGCCAGCCTCGTGTAACCTCCCGGGAAGCCAGCACCAACCAGGAGGGACACGGGTCCAATAAACATGTGGTTGCGTTCAGCCGTCCCAAGATCCTGTCCATGTCCTCGGGAGCCACAGGATCGAACTCCTCCCAGATAACATTCTCAAGGCCTGCCTCAGTCATCTCGTCTGAACTAACCCAGTCGGCGGCCAAGTCTTCCCGAATCTGAGTTATTTTATCATCCAGATACTGTACAAAATCCTCAGCTCGGCCCTGCAAGGGGTCCTCCCGCGCTCCCAGATGGAGGAGGGAGCGGGTCACCCTAAACAGGGTGGCTGGGCGGTTATCTGATGACGCGATAAGAGCGGCAAAATAGCTAGATTTCGCCGCTTTTATCGCCACTAGGTAGGTCTTAATATGAGACCTTGCCAGTGTCAAGTCAGACTCGGAACGACTGGCCCTCCAACTGCTCTCTAGGCGTCTTTTCCGGCGCTTCATCTCCCTCAGCTCCTCGGAAAACCAAGGAGCTAGGTGAGTTCGGTGCCGGGTCAGAGGCCGCAAAGGCACGACCCGGTCCAAAGCCCCGGCAGCCGCCCTATCCCAGGCGGCCACCAGGTCATCAGCCGAGTCATGAGCTAGAGTCTCAGGAAATGGCCCAAGCTCCATCTGGAACCTATCAGGGTCCATCAGGCGCCTGGGGCGGAACCACCTGGTCGGTTCCGCCTCCCTGCGACGGGGTACGGCGGTCAGAAAGTCAAGTCGAAGGAGCGA